AGGCAAGGTAAGAATAACTGGTCTTTTGATTTGGCGAGGTACAAAGTTACCTTCAAATCTGAGGGACATAACCTAAGGCGATCATTGCTACTAAGTAGGGGCCGACACCAAAGAGACAACTGAAGTGTCCCAAAGCCGTCATAAAATATGGAACATATCTGAACAAAACAAATGAGATACGTGATACGCAATACCACGCCGGATGGAAAACGTTTACAGAAATGTAAGACATTAAACGCCATATTTAAAATTTAGTTTTTGAATAAGACAAAAAACAGGAACTACAAACTAAAACTAAAATTTCGAGAATGACAGCTCAAACTGAGTTTACAAACAATGTGTCAAAAATAGAATGAAAGGAAACCAAATTCAGAGCAGTGATTGAAAGTCTCTACCGGTCTCTTCGATGGATGTCGAATTACTTTTGGCCAATTACTTTTCAAACTTTTAGGATTGATTTCTATGATCTGGGAATGAAAAACATCAGACTGACAATGCTAGACTCGTCTTTTTGAGATTGTTCGGAGTTAATTTATTAATGGCAACGAAATGAAGAAAAAAAATCTAAATTTGCCTTTTTAGCGTGCGGCACAAGCTCTCGCTTCCCTATAAAAAAGACTTGATGAGAGGGCGGAGTCATCTTCGACATCATCAGTGTCATTAAATTTTATTTTAGGCTTCTATTTTCGAGGAAATTTAAATATGTTTCTGGTCTGATTCGAAGAATAAAAGTTTTAAAGCTGATGCAAGTTAACGTCTCGTGACGAAGCCGCATACTATCATACTCTATCCTGTCGCTTTGTTATGTCTAAACGGAACATAGCATGTCTAGCCCGGCCTTCTTTATATGCAGTTGTTTGGTGATTTTTAAGGGGTCTACATGCGACAATAATGTACACGATAAGATAATTTATGTTCTCAGCTCGGTTTTACCAAAGATGCAGATCATAAATTTAAGTTGGATCATTCAAATAAATAAATAATTAAATAGCATAGGCCAAACCACTGGATGATCCCAACAAAATACAATGAATTCTTTATAATTAAAAGACTCTCTCTTTATGCTTTA